AAGGTACTACCAGCCTGCAGCCGCTATCCGGGCTACCACCGTTCGTAGACGATGTGTTTGTCTATGGATTTGTCGCAGAGAACGACATGTATGGACGCATATGCAGAAACGCAAAAACGCTGGTCTCCAAAATATCCACTGCGGCACAGGAAGCCTTTGGTACGTTCCTACACGTCCAAATAGTACACAGTTGCTGGCAAGGAAAAATAGTAGATCGCGTCTCCCATATGGCAGCCAAGTGGTCCAGCTTGCACGGAGAACCCGCAGCGGTATTTGTAGCCAAAGTAGACACCTCGGAATTGTCCATAGAAACCGTGGAGGAAAAGATACCCAAGTTTGCTACTTTGCTAGATGGGCACGGGTATGGTATCTATTCCGTAGACTACACACAAGATTTCTCTGGTACTTTGGATAGAAAAGCTTTGGTGCGCAGATTGTTGCAGCTGGGCTACGAACACCAGGGAGAACTGGGCAGGCGCAAAGGTACTATTCTAGACAATACACACCAAGTAGGCGGGCATGTTTGTACTTGGATGGAAGACGGGAAACGTACGAAAATATACAACAAGATAGTATCCAACTTCGAAGCCGGAGAAGTGCAAAACCCAGTAGGAGCAAAGCTAGCAGAGTACGTGGATTGTCCGAACGACCACCTGCGTAGAACATTCCTGCACCCAGACGTGCAGAAAAGAGGATGCAGCAGAGTGGAAATATCCATCTACGGCAGGGATTTCTCCAAAGGAAACACCAATGCTATTGCGGAGACCATAGAGCCCCTAGCAGACATATTCGTAGTACAGCCACCCAAAAACATGTGGTTGGCGCTCGCGGAACACTTGGATAGACGTTTGTGTATTTGCTGCGAGGAGGCAAAAGAAATCTTTCTAGCTTGGTACTGCCACGCAGAAACAGGTAGGATAGCCGGCATTCGCGTGCGAGGCAACGAAAGATGGGAACAGTGCGTACTTTGGACCATAGCAGAGTTCGGACTGCGCAAATACCCCATATTCCGCATGGATGTGCGAGGATTGGACCCGGTGGAGATAGCACCGCTGCGATGCTACACCAAAGACTCTCCCACGGTGTTGGCAGAGTCTAACAAGCCAACCCGCGTACACAAAGATCCGCCTACTATCGCAGACTTTCTCCCAACTACGGAGCACGTAGAGTGGGTTTGGCGCACCAAGAAGGCACAAAAGATAGGCATAGAAAAGAGTCTCTTCGGAATACTAGAAGTGCCTACGGGCCGCAGGATATCCTTTCTGTCCAAAAGAAAGCGACAGCAAAAATTGGAAGACATACGGGACGATTTGGAAGGCGACGAGTGGGTAGAAGCTACAAGAAGATACCACGCAGAACTGTCGGAACAAAGGCAGTCCATCCTGCGGCAAAAAGAAGAGGACAGGAAGAAAATAGAAAAAGAATTGAAAAAGTACAGGAAACTATTGGATAGAATTTCCAGAAGAACAGACAATCTGCGTAGATTGTTCTTTGGAGAGGAAAGCCCGTTTAGTCCAGAGACGCCTAGGGCCAAAGTGCATAGGATGGACCAAATACCTGCAGGAGACTACAAGATACTAGGATATGCGGTCCCCAGAGACTTGGATGCCAACTGGTTGGCAAGAGGGCACCGCGTAGTATTGCGAAGGAATAGAGAAACTTCTGTAGCATGGGCCACGGAAGCCCTATTGGATGCATTTGCGRCTGGAAAGTTCGAAGCGAACGGCAACATACGCACTGCCATACCAGGAGAAGAAATATTGGTGGAGTGGCAGAACAACATAGCCACTGCCTTCGTGCCCGAAGGACCTGGTTTGGATACGTACTACGAATTGGCTAGGAAAGTAGAACATCCCAAACATCCGGAAAAACTACTAGAAGTGCCTGCGCCGCCCAACAAAGAATGCGTGCAGGCGCTGCATATGCATCCAGGCGAGTACCAATGCTGGAGATACGCCAAAACCACGTACAGAAAAAAAGAAAGGACAATCCTATTCCTTTCCGAAAAATGCTCGGAGTGCGTTTTGGAGGGCTGCGCGGTAGAACATGCTACTACTCCGGTCTGGGGACACTTTTTGGACGAGCAAAAGATAGACTGGACATCGCAGCCACCGCTGTACTGCAAGATTGGTAGAGAAAAGACTACCAAAGCAAAGAAGAAAGACCGGCTGGTGCACGTCTCTACTCCATCTCCGGAATCCTAGAATTTCTCTGCGGTTTCGTATCCTCCGCTGGATGTCTGTAGTAGACAACTTTGGGCGGTTGCATGCGTGCSCAAACGACAGCAGCAATGCCTGCGACTGCAAATAGTACATTGCCGGCTATTTGCCAGTCTATTT